TGATGGCCTAACTTAGCCTCCAAGTATGTAGATGAAGGAAAATATCTTGCTCTCATAACTTTATACAATAGAGTGTGTCTATCCTAAATCAGGCACCATGCTTGCTTAGCTAAATGAGCCAGGTCGAAACCCACCCCTCCGCTTGATTTACTCCTACACATTTTCTTCCTCCTCACCCAATGTATTTTCCTCTCCCCATCTCACCGCCCCCACCAAAAATTAGTTGTCATGGATTCTAGCTCCGCACATAGATAATCTTGGAGCTTAAAACACCCCATCGCATAAGTAGGAATTGATTGTATCACAACTTTAATCAAAACTTCTTTACCTGTGGACAATAAAAATTGCCCTTTCCACCCTTGTAGCTTACTCCATTCTCTCTTTTCCTAATATAGCTAAAAATCTCTCTTTTTGACTGGCCAACAATGGTGGGTTGGCCCAAATATTTTTCATGCTCCTGGACAAGTTGAACACCTAATGTAAAACTCGATAAAATTTGAACTTTTTATGAAAAAGGGCAAAACGGTAATTTATAACTACAGTGCGAGTTAAAAACCCATATTTTTCTAGAGCTCGGATGATGAAACGGATCTCACAGTTGGATTCATCTCANTGTAAAACTCGATAAAATTTGAACTTTTTATGAAAAAGGGCAAAACGGTAATTTATCACTACAGTGCGAGTTAAAAACCCATATTTTTCTAGAGCTCGGATGATGAAACGGATCTCACAGTTGGATTCATCTTATGAAATCTAGCTACCCAAATAATTTTTGTCTAATTCTGAGATAATTAAATTTTTCACATTTTTCAAGGCGACGGGTGTCGGGTGACCTCAAAAAATAAAAAATAAAAAAATTCTAAAATTTTAAGATTCATCTCATGAAATCTAGTTACCCAAATAATTTTTGTCTAATTCTAAGATAATTAAATTTTTAACATTTTTCAAGGCGACGGTGTCGGGTGACCTCAAAAAATAAAAAATAAAAAATTCTAAAATTTTATTTCTTCGGGCCAAGTATTAAAGTCGATCTCCTCAATGAGAGCTACACAATCATACCAAAAACGAAGAATTTCACCGAAGATTCAAAAACGAGATTTTGGGGGAAGCTTGGGTTTGAGCTTGGGATTAAGTTCTTGGAGGTTTTCTACATTGATTTTACGCTTCAAGATGTAGGATTTTCATCCTAACTAGCTTTATTTCCAACCTAGGATGAAAATATGAAATGAGTGGGCTATTTTGTGTATTTTAACACTTGCCTATTATAGTTGGTTTAATGAAAATTGGTAGGCTCAATTCTAGTGTGAATTGGTAATTAGAAATTGCTAGTTTGTGATTTCTTGAAAGTTTTGATAATTGGGTATGTGAAAATCATTTATTCTAATTTTTTTTTGGATTATGTGATAAAAATGGGCATTTTATATGATTACATGATTTGGTGCCTTGAAGGTATTTGATAAAATGCCTATGTGAAATAAAGTGTGTTAATTGCATGAGATGATGTGATATCATTCTTGGATGATGTGGTAAATTGAAATCATATGCTTATGCTNATTTGATAAAATGCCTATGTGAAATAAAGTGTGTTAATTGCATGAGATGATGTGATATCATTCTTGGATGATGTGGTAAAGTGAAATCATATGCTTATGCTATGAATTACAATTGAAAATGCAAATGTTGATATGTGCTTATGATATATTGGCATTGGGATGAATTATGAAAATTATTTGCTTAGGATATAATTATCCATGACATGTGTTGAAATGTGGTAGAAAAAATCCATATGGCATTCATTACATATGAATATGATATTGATATTGCAATTGCTCATTACATTGCATATGCACGGAGGAATCACATTCATAGGCAGGAGGCATGAGTGTGGGTGTGTGTGTTTGTTATTAGGTCAAACACCATCATTGGTGGTTGACAAATGGACTCGGTATAGTTGGACCAACTTTCAATAGAGTCACATGGGTTGCATGAAAAAATTATGTGGGGTATAGTAAGAAGGGCTAGATACTCCCTAAGGTGAAAAACCCGGCTACTTGGTTCATACACTCCCCTATTGTGAAATTCTGAAAAATTGTAATGGCGTGCGGAGCCTGCTGTGTGATTCCAAAATCCGATACCCAACAAAGATACATGATTTTGTTTCATACAAAAGTGTCATCGGATGCATAACATCAATGGCGAATTTATTACACATTGGCATTACATTGTGTTGTGGGAGTCGGTGAGGCTCAGGTTAAAGTGCATGAGTGAGTCTCATCTCATTTCATGGAAAGACATAGTAGAATTTCAACATTGAATTGCATATTCTTGTTTGAGATGGTTGTTGTTTCTTAAATGTTGCATGTGAAATTTCATATGCAACTAGGTTGGGGAGTAGCCTCTTTAGGAGTTACCATATTGAGTATGACTCACCCTTTATGAGGACGACATTTCAGATGCGGGGTACACTCTGGTGGAAGGCTCTCACTTGGGGCCTCAAGGATGAAGAAAAGCCAACTTGTGGCTTTTAATTCATTTTTTGTACAACTATTGTGAAAAACAATGCTTTTGTAAAACATTTGCAAAGTTAGTTTTTGGGCATGTAATATATGTAAAAGAATTGTAATCGAACTGTTATGGACTATTTTTAATGTAACTTTGCATGTTATTATATGAGTATGGATAAATGGACCCGGTGTGGTCAATGTTGTATATTGGACCTTGGATGGGTTATGTGATTGTACGATGCACAGGTTGTGTTTTGGTTGGAACTCCCTATACAAAAAAGACTCTGCCCGAATTTTGTTAAATTAAGGACCCCCGTTTTTTGGGGTGTGACACCTAAAATTCCTTGGATCTTTACCACTTTCTCTACAGTAGTATTCTTGTTACAGACCATGGCCAACTTCTGAATATTTGTTTGATGACCTAAAGCCAATTCATAGGCCTGGAGAATCTATTTCACTACTCTAGCTTCATGGTCAATGGCATTTAGAAATAGAAGGTTTTCATTTGTAAACAACAAGTGAGAAATTTTTGGGCACCCTCTTCCAATTGAGACACCTTTAATTCTCCTCTCCCTTGTTGCTACATTCACCATTGCCAACAACCCTTCTGCACAAAGGGTGAACAATTAAGGTGATAGAGGGTCCCCTTGATGGATACCCCTCTCAGGTGAGACAAATCCAGCTGGCTCATTTTTAAGCATAAGTGAAAAGGACACCGTAGACACATATTTCATTACCAGAGATATCCACCTATTATTAAAACCCAACTTTTCCATAATTCCTTCTAAGAACCCCCATTCTACACTATCATAAGCTTTACTCATGTCTAGCTTCAATGAAATATGCCCAAATTTACCCCAACTTTTACATTTCAAGTAGTAGTTTAATTCAAAAGCTATTAACACATTATCTGTTATCAATCTACCAGGAATGAATGCGATTTGATTTTTTAGAAATAATAGTTGGGAGGACCAATTCAAGCCGATTAGCCAAAACCTTGGCCACCAGTTTGTAGAGGATAGTACACAAACTAATGGCGCAAAATTGGGTCATACTCCCAAGATTGGGGGATTTCGAAATCAAGACTATATGGGTATATTTAATTTTTGAGAGAAAACGACCACCATTTAAAAAACTCAACACACAAAAAATGAAATCCACCCCTATGACATTCCAGTACTTTTGAAAAAAGAGAGGGGGCATACCATCTGGACCAGGAGACTTAGTGGGATACATTTGGAATAAAGCATGAAATACCTCATCAGGGGGAAATCTCACTAGCAGTCTAGCATTCATCTCCTCTGTCACTTTGTGCTCTACTTCATTCAACACTATTTCTATCTCTTCTTTGTGTGGTCTACTTAAGGAAAACAGTTTTTGTAAATAAGCCACTACCATCGCTTCCACATCCATTCTACTTTCACACCATTCTCCCTGTTCATTCCTTAACATACTTATCCTTTTTTTTTTACCTCTGATTGGCACTTGCATGAAAGAACACGATGTTACGATCCCCCTCCTTAAGCCACTGAATCTCGACCGTTGTCTCAAATATTCTTCCTCCATACCAAAGGGACCATCCAGCTCTTCTTTTACCTACCTCGCCATTTCATAGTTATCCCCTATCAATACGTCCTCCTTTAGAGATGTCAGTTTAGCTTTCAAACCTTGCAATCTATTTATTACATTACCCACGCTCTCATTTCTCCATTTTAATTGCCCTACTCGGCAATTCTGAATATTATTACAAACCCTCTGGAACACGCCATTACCCACAACTGGTTGCCAAGCCTTTCGAATTACCTATTGAACATCCTTTCTTTTCACCCAACATGCTTCAACCTAAATTTCTTTTCCACCCAGTTCTCCCTCTTTACATGAATCTTGATTCCATATCCAACACCACTATATAATGATCGGAAACATGACTAAAACTATAAATCACTGTGACGGCTAGAAAAAGAGCACACCAAACTAAATTTGCACAGTATCAGTCAAGTCTCTCCCATACGGTATTCAGATGTGGTCTGTTATTACACCACCAAGTAAAAGGATAACCCACAAATCCCAAATCCTTTAAAGCGCACCTATCTAAAACTTCTCTATAATCCCATATTTGCCAATTTGCCCTTCTATTCCATAACTTTTTCTCACCTTGGATTAAAATCTCATTGAAATCACCTTGACATAGCCATGGAAAATTTGAGATAGTTCCTAAATATTGTAGTAACTCCCAAGATTCCCTCTTTTGAGATACATCTAGTTCACCATAAAAACCTGCAAACCTCCACTCACTTTCTTCACCCATATCGATTATCACATCAATATGTCTTTTTGTAAAACTTTGAAGGGAAACAATTTGATTTTTCTACCACAATAGATCCAAACTGTCCACCTTCCCAATCGCGTCCACAGACACCCCATTCATACCCCCACTACATTTTTAGCCAATCAATGAACATTGTTTTACACTTCATCTCCATCAAGAAAACAAAATCATGCTTTTGGGTCTTCACAACATCGTGAAGTGTATGACCTGTCTGAGGATGCCCAATCCCTTGGCAGTTCCAACTCAAAATTTTCATGATGATAGGCAGGACTGGAAACTAGAGCCTGCTTTTGGATCATTAGGGGTAGGAGACATTCTTGTATTACTGTTAGTGATCTCACCTTGTTTTTCAGTATTGGTAACTCCTCCACCTCTATGTCATCTCGAATGTCCTCCCTATTTTCATTTTTCCTCTTACCCAGCACCGATGATGATCCTACTGCTACTTTAACCCTTATTTCTCCTCTTCTTGGCACTCTCTTTTTAACTTTAGGGATTTTTGTTGCTTCCTCCACCGCCGCTCTATTTCCTTTATCTATCGTTGAATCAGTAACAGTGGACTGAAAATTCTTATGTATTAGAATTTCTACTAACCTTAATTCATGGTCCAACCCTCGCTTTGGATTTGAATCACTAGATTTAACCCTTTTATTAGGCTATGGGTTTGTGCTTTTAAAAATAAGCTCACTCAAAATAAAAACCTATGCCTATAACCCGAATAATAGTTGTTTCCCTCATTTTGTTGGAACACGAAATCTTTAAAAGAACAACCAGTTGGCAATTGAGGACAAGGTACTATTCCAAGAGATGCACTTCCCATATTCTGTAAAACTCNATAAGCTCACTCAAAATAAAAACCTATGCCTATAACCCGAATAATAGTTGTTTCCCGCATTTTGTTGGAACACGAAATCTTTAAAAGAACAACCAGTTGGCAATTGAGGACAAGGTGCTATTCCAAGAGATGCACTTCCCATATTCTGTAAAACCCGAGAAAATTTAAACTTTTCTTGAAAAGGGCAAAACGGTAATTTGTTACTACAGTGCGAGTTGAAAACCCATATTTCTGTAGAGATCAGATGACAAAACGGACCTCACTATTGAATTTTTTTTGTGAAATCTAGTTACCTAGATAAATTTTATCAAATTTTGAGATAGTTANATATTCTGTAAAACCCGAGAAAATTTAAACTTTTCTTGAAAAGGGCAAAACGGTAATTTGTTACTACAGTGCGAGTTGAAAACCCATATTTCTGTAGAGATCAGATGACAAAACGGACCTCACTATTGAATTTTTTTCGTGAAATCTAGTTACCTAGATAAATTTTATCAAATTTTGAGATAGTTAAATTTTTTACGTTTTACGAGGCAGTTGGGTCTCGAGTGACCCAAAAATAAATTTTTTAATAAAATTTTAAAAGCTGGAAAATAATTTAAAGCAAGTTGAAATAAAAATATTTGAACTTGAATCAGAGTAAAATTTAATCGTTTCGGGGTGAAAATAGACCCGGGAAAAAGGGGGCGTATGGCACGACATGGACCAAGTGGTAAAGTGTATAGATAAGGACTAAAATCTGATTTTTTAGAAAACTCTCTACTGGTTTTCTGCTGGGTTTAACCTTAGAAGAAGAAGATAGGAAAAAGAGAGAATTCCAACATTCTCTCTCAAATCTATAGAGTTTCGCCGGTCAGAATTCTTCGGACCAAGTATTAAAGTCGATCTCCTCGACAAGGGCTACGTAACCATACCAAAAATGAAGGCTTTCACTGAAGGTTTGAAAAATGAAATTTAGGAAAAAGCTTGGATTGGAGCTTAGGTTGAATTGTTGAAGCTCCCTACGTTGATTTTATTCTTCAAGAGGTAGGTTTTTCATTTCTTAGTTTTAAAATGGGTATTCAATGCACTCTCCTTTAGTTTATGTTTTCTTGCATTAATATAGCGCCAATCCTAATTTCTTTATAATGTCCTCTCATTACATTGTTGTCTTTACCTTAAGCATGAGTAGCTAAGCTTTTTAGTTGGCTAATCCGAGGGAGACCTCCACTTGGGTATGTCATTTCAACTCATTTTCTTTTCTCCTCTCAGAGCACGATGGTTCGGTTTGACTGGGTTGAGGGTGGATAGGATTGTGAGTCTTTGATATCCCGTAGACTTGTCATGGATTATGCTTGGATCCTCACTTCCATCTTGGCCCTAGCTTCCCACGAATCAATCGTGGATCTATGCTCTATTGTGGGAAAGATTCGACTTGACTTGGTATTTCCATTGGAGTGAAGCCTTCAGATTTAGCCAACAGTTGTTTTCCATTTCATTTTCATCACAAAACAATCACAACCCAAACTTCAACCAACAAAAGATTTTACATTTTTTCCTCTTTGCACAAAAATCACCTTCAACACGATTGACCTCCTTCCCTGAAGAGATGACATTGGAATATGATTCCAAGTAAAACACGACAAGCAAAAGTCTCTCTGCGCTTGGGTAGCATTTTTGTTCACACACACACATACATTTCATTCATCCACCATTCCGCTACCTTTTCTTTTGACATCATTCCAAGGGAGAGTGACATTCCCCTCCACACATAGACCATACATACATTGAGGGATCATGTTCGGAGGTTAGGATATACTACAATGGAAATAACCAAACATCTTTGGCACCGTTATCAGGGAAGGCAAGTGTCAAATCAAGAAGGTGATTTCTGGACAATAGAGGTAAGTCTCGTGATGTTCATCATGGGTTGAGGTACGTTGATCCTTGTATATACTTTTGTTTGTGTACATTTTAATTGTAGATAGTTTTGTTATATGTGGGGATGGGACGAACAAAATCAACTAGTTAGACAATCCTTGGGTCCCAATATGAACACTGACCAAGACTTACCCATGGATGCGGGTGATAATTTTGATAATATAGGTGCCAATCCAAACATGCAATGGGGAGGGGGAGGACAATAACCTAGAATGCCCAATCCACAAATGCAATTTTTTTCTCCCGTGATGAAGAAAACAACATGCACATTGAGCCTCCGACAAGGCTAATGAGGGATTACCTTTAACCTACACGAAGCACCATACCCTCATGCATCCTCTTGCCGGTCCAAGCCCACCTCTTCGTAGTTAAGCGAGGGATGTTGCAACTACTTCCCATTTTCCACGGAATGGAAAAGGAAAACCCCTACTTGCATATAAAGGATTTGGAAGAAATAGTTGGAACATTCTTCACCAATCATGGAATGGAAGACATAGCTAGGCTAAAATTGTTCCCTTTTTCCCTACGAGATAAGGCAAAAATGTGGCTTAATTCCTTGAAGCCTCGATCCATCACATCTTGCCTAAGAAAGGAGTGGTTAGGTTCAACAAGCGGAAAAAATTGTNCCTTTTTCCCTACGAGATAAGGCAAAAATGTGGCTTAATTCCTTGAAGCCTCGATCCATCACATCTTGCCTAAGAAAGGAGTGGTTAGGTTCGACAAGCGGAAAAAATTATCGTCGAGGTATATCGAGCCCTTTGAGGTACTTGAGAGGATTGACACAGTTGCTTATCAGTTGGCATTGCAGCCAAATTTATTAGGTGTTCATGCGGTGTTCCATGTCTCTATGCTCCGGAAGTATACTCCAAATTTGACACATGTGGTGCATTGGGGTAAGTTGATTGTTGATGCTGATGGGACCTCGAGGAGGGAACGGTGCGTATCATGGATAACCAAGAGCAGATTTTGCGAGGCAAGACCATGAGGCTAGTGAAGGTGTTGTGAAAGCACCAAGGAGTGGAGGAGACGACATGGAAGCGTGAGGACACTATACGTACCAGTTATCCTTTCTTATTCAAGGATGGAGGTACATTCTTATAGTCATTTAGTATTATATGACTGTTGCATATGCATGTGGTTGAATGTGCATGTGTGTGTGTAAATTTTGGGGATAAAATTCTTTTAAGGGAGGAAGAATGAAAAACTTGTAAAAATTTGAACTTTTTACGAAAAAGGGCAAAACGATAATTTGTCACTACTGTACGAGTTGCAAACTTGTATTTCTCTAGAGCTCAGATGATGAAAAGGATCTTACTATTGGATTCGTCTCACGAAATCTAGTTACCCAGATAAATTTCATCCAATTTCGAGATAGTCGAATTTTTCACGTTTTACAAGCCAGTCGGGTTTCGGGTGAACCAAAAATAAATTTTTTAATAAAATTTTAAAATTTAGAAAATAATTTAAAGTAAGTTGAAATAAAAATATTTGAACATGAATTGGAGCGAAATTTAATCTTTTTGGAGCAAAAATGGACCCAGGAAAAAGGGGGCGTGTGGTGCAACGTGGACCAAGCGTTAAAGTGTATAGATAAGAACTAAAATCTGATTTTTTAGAAAACTCTACTTGTTTTCTTGGGTTTAACCTTGGAAGAAGAAGAAGAGAGGAACAACAGAGAATTCCAACATTCTCTCTCAAATCTACGAAGTTTTACTAGTCGAAATTCTTTGGGCCAAGTATTAAAGTCGATCTCCTCAACGAGGGCTACACAACCATACCAAAAATGAAGGCTTTCACCAAAGGTTCAAAAAATAAAATTTTGGAAAAAGCTTGGATTAGAGCTTGGGTTGAATTCTTGAAGCTCCCTACGTTGATTTTATGCTTCAAGAGGTTGGATTTTCATCCTAACTAGATTTATTTCCAACCTAAGATGAATATATGAAACGGGTGAGCTGTTTTGTGTATTTTAACAATTGCCTATTGTAGTTGGTTTAATGGAAATGGGTAGATTCAATTCTAGTGTGAACTGGTAATTAGAAATTTCTAGTTTGCGATTTCTTAGAAGTTTTGATAATTGGGAATGTGAAAATCACATAATCTGGATTTTTTTTTTTTTTTGAGTGATGTGATAAATTTGGGCATTTTATGTGATAACATGCTTAGATGATATGGTAAAGTGAAATCATATGCTTATGATATGAATTACAATTGGAAATGCAAATGTTGATATGTGTTTATAATATATTGGCGTTGGGGTGAATTATGCAAATTATTTGCTTAGGATGTAATTATCCATGATATGTGTTGAAATGTGATAGAAATAATCCATATGGCATTCATCACATATAGATATGATATTGATGTCGCAATTGCTCATTATATTGCATATGCACGGACGCATCATATTCATGGGCATGAGCATGAGTGTGGGTGTGTGTGCTTGTTGTCAGATCAAATACCATCCTTGGTGGTTGGCAAGTGGACTCAATGTAGTTGGACCAAGGTTTAACAGGGTCGCATAGGTTGCATGAAAAACTTGTGTCGGGTATAGCAAGAAGGGATAGATACTCCCTCGGGTGCAAGACCTAGTTACTAGTTTATACACTTCCGTCTGTGCAAGTCCAAAAAAGTGTATCGATGTGTTGAATCAGCGGTGCGACAACAAAACTCCGCTACCCAACAAAGACACATGATTTTGTTTCATACAAAAATGTCTTCGAATGCATAACATCAATGTCGGGTTTATTACACATTGGCATTGCATTATGTTATAGGAGCCG